CCGAAACTTAGCATTTATTTACTCCCCTAAAGTTTTATAGTTGCATATGTACCCTTCAAAAGGGGTTCGTCTGCATATACCTTAATATTCCAATTATATCTATGTCCATGGCATCAGCTTTCGTGCATTTTTTAGTTGAATCCACAAGAAGAAGAAGTGATGGCTTAACACTAACAAATAAATTAGATTATTGTATAACTCTTTAAAGTTATCATGAATTATATAGTAAATGGTAAACATGAAGTTTTGATGTTATTATTGATTCCGATATAGTGCTTGTACCATATTTACTAAAATTCGTTCTCTTTATGATCACAATTCGATCACGGTACTTTTTGGGTATTGATGATGTTGGAGGGCTTTAACAAAACATAAGTGACAAAGAAAAACAAACCAACTATAAAAATAGACAAGCCACTTAAAAAGACTATATATGAACAAATGAAATAATATATATCTTCGTCCTAATAAACAGCCAACCCATTAATATAAAATCCAAGACAAAAACACTCGAACCAAACCAATGAAAAAAACAACCAAAAACCACAGAACAATTTCTCCCTCCATTTTTTTTCTTCTTCTTTTAACTACCACCAAATGCACCTACTGCTTGTAATAGTAGTTTCAAAAAAATTACTTTTCACCCGTATATAATGTGTCCTTTTATCGATCAGTCCACTTTACTAGGACAATTTGAGATTTAAATTTTCCTCCCCCACTAAAAAGTAGCATATTAATTTATCTAGTGGGTAATTATAATTCATTCTAAATCTAGCACTCATCGTATCATTCATGATCTCACTAATTACTAATTTATTCTCAAAGACAAAACGCAATCACTCATTAAACAAATCGACGGTTCCGATATATGTAGTGATCTACGTCACATTCTATTTTAGGTATATAGCTAAACTACCTTAAAAGCAACATATTTCTTCGCAAATGACAACCTTTACCAAAAACGAAAAAGTCAATTAGATAAAAGAGCTGCAGTTCGAACGGTAGGAGAAAATCTAGTTTCGTACCGTTTTCTTCGTTCAAAGTAGTCCAACAAAGATCCAAGATACCCACCAAACACTACGTTTGACCTACTCCATCCAAAACGTGTATACTATTGATTAAGCCATTCTCATCAAGCTAAGCAAAGTATAATCAAATTCTAGTTGTACAAATCTTTACGTCTCGTGCTGCTTTAATAGTGACTAGCTTAGATGTAAACTTTTTGTGCAAAAGGAAAAGGCAAGT